GTTCCAGCGACAGCAGTAGGCGATCCAACAGCAGCAGGCTATACAGCAGTAGCAGCAGGCCATGCATCAGCAGCAGCTTCTCATGCAGCAGCAGCTACTTGGGTTTATGCAGCATGTTGTGATAGCTATTGGGGCTCCACCGCCATAGCCTTCGTCCCAGCTTGGTCAGCCTGCCACCACTTCTATGACTCTAGTTTTCCAGCCCAGTGGGCTTCAGAGTCTGGGACCGCTAGTGCCATAGTTTCCTTCACCTATAGAGCAGGTGTCCTAGTGGTTTGCTTCGCCAGTGCCAGCCCCGCAGTTCACACCTCTTCATACAGGCTTTACTCCGCCTCAGAGTTTGTCAGTGCTCACCCTAGTTTTCAGGAGCCTTGGTGCTTTATTCAGTGAGTTGATAGGGCAGCCTACACCGGTAGAGCAACATGTCCTAGGTCCTTCCATAGTTGCACTTATTACCGAGACTACAGAGACGCTCCCTTCTTTAGTTGCATCATTAGAGCAGGCAACGCCAGTTCTAGATCCGACCCAGACCGCTTCAGCATCGCTTTTAGCTATAGAGGGTTAGACTGCTCAAAGCTCAGGGTCAGATGATGATGGCACATAGTTTTAGCTCGCTCCTCACACCTCAGCGCCCGACTCATCCGTTGCAGCCCCGCCGACTGACCCTTAGGTTTTGTTGTTTGACGCCAAAGGGGGAGAGGGATTGAGTATGTTAGTCTTAGGGGGAGCGATTGTTTTAGGGGGAGTCTATCTATTAGCTTACCTATTACATTTGGAGTTTTATGTGTGATACATTATGCATTCATATTTACTATTATGCATTGAACTACTTAAGTGTGATCGTAATCATGATATTAATGTGATCGTGATATTTATGTGATATGTGACATGTGTGCTCTCTACTTTGAATTATTTATATGTCATATCACTTGTGTTATGCTCATTTGCTTTGCTTCCGCGTTTTACTCCGATGCAAATGAGCTTTATTATTTTACTCATGCTTATTTCATATCTATTGAGTACATCATGTTGTCTTGGGTCATATAAGCTTGCCTAACTCTTTTGTTCTTATTGTCAAAAGCTTATATGATCCAAGCATGTTAAAAACCTCAACTCTTTCACATACTCGAGGTGGTATTGTCATCAATCACCAAAAGGGAGAGATTGAAAGCATCTAGGCCCCTAGTTGGGTTTCGGTGATTAATGACAATACGTGATTACTGTGACTAACGTGTGTTTTGCAGAGGCAATTAAGTTAGGTCACGGTAATGGAGATCGATTGGGCTATCATGGTGGTCATGCCCCTACGATGGAAATTATTTCGGTTTTCAAAGGATGGACGACAAGGTTAAGGATGGACTAGTTCTAAATGTTGATTAGAGTTAAAGAGACGCTTAGAGTAGTTTAGGACTTTATTTTTCCTTTGGCCGTACTATTAAGGGGTATGGACGGGTAGCTTGACCTAGGTGAGTCTAGTGGGTTAGGAGTGGTGCACACTTGCTAAAACTAGCCATAGGTAGCTCCTAAAAAGCCCTTAGATCCATTGAAGGAAACTTCATTCATATATGATCGAGAGTTCGAAGTGAATGGAGGGTCAAATATTGATCGAACGCTGGCGCAGAGTCCGGTCAGTTCATTTGATCAAGGTGATTTTGTCTGGTGCGACCGGACGCTGAGAGGTGAGCGACCAGACGCTGGGTGCCAGCGTCCGGTCGACTCCAGTAAGGTTACAGAGAGGGAAAATCATTACCGGACGCCGTCCGGTCAGTGCTGACCGGACGCTGTCCAGCGTCCGATCACAACTTAAACACTAGAGTTCGGGGAGAACTGACCGGAGCGTCCGGTCAACATGATCGGAGCGTCCGGTCACCCCGTAGAGGCACATAACGGTTTGTTTTTGAACCAATGTTATAAATACTTCCTCTATTCGTGTGAGGGGGCACTTTTATTCATTCCAACAGCTGAGAAACACCTTTGAGAGTACCAAGAAGAGCAAGGTCCTAGTGAGGTGATTGAGATTTGAGAATCCCAAAGAGAGCCCTCATTAGTGAAAGCAAGAGTAGCAAAGTGTGTATCCACCCTTCTCATTAGGCTTGTCGTGGTCAAGTGAGAGTTCGTGCTTGTTACTCTTGGTGATCGCCATCACCTAGACGGCTTGATGGTGATTGAGAGCTTGGTGATCATCCGGCGGAGCTTGTGGATGACCCAACTCAAATTGTGAGTGGTTGTAGGTGATTCATTGCGACGGAGTGTCAAAGAATCAACCCGTAGAGAGCACTTGATCTTTGCGCGGATCAAGGGGGAGCTACACCCTTGCACGGGTGCTCCAACGAGGACTAGTGGGGAGTGACGACTCTCTGATATCTTGACAAAACATCGCCGCGTTCCTCCTTCTCTCTTTACTTTGAGCAATTCAATTCTTGTCATTTGCATTCATAGAATTGCCATGCTAGAATAGGATTGGAACATAGGTTACTAAACTTTTGTGCGGTAGATAAATAGAAACACTTTCTAGGCATAAGGGGTTAATTGGGCTAACAGTATTACTTAATTATTGTAAAAAAAAATTAGAATTAGCCCAATTCACCCCCCTCTTGAGCATCTTGATTCTTTCAGTAGCCACAACTTCTGAATGCTAGATGAATGTGATGCTGAGTATTTTTGTTCCTGCCACCTAGATGAATACTCTTAGATCAGCATGCTTTGGTTAGTCGTGGATTCAGATTGCAGCATTTTGTAATCTGAATTTTGTAATATGCATTTTGTAATGCTTTTGTAATCCCTGTGTGACACATTTATATTCTATAATAGAACCTTTATGACAAGGCGAGTTGGACCGAGGAAAACACTCATATTTACTATTATCTAGCGGTTGAACAATTTAATTATGCACATTCTTCACTTCGTAATGTCATTGAGCGGTCATTTGGAGTTTAAAAGATGAAGTGGAGGATATTGCTTGACCTACCTAGTTATCCTATGTCAAAGCAAAGTCAAATAATTATTGCGTGCGTGGCACCACACAATTCATTCGAGAGCGTTATTTGGGGATGCAGACTTTGATTTGGTTGATAGTGATGAGAACTTTGTTCCACTCTCGGAAGCATCGTCTTCTCAAGTAAATGTATCTAATACACATCATGGAGATGAAGATCAACCCATAAATCAATTCCGTGATTGGATAGTCGATGGGTTGTTCAATAGATCATAGATGTCTACTGTTTAATGGTGATGCTATATTTGCCATGTGCTACTGTTGTATGGACAATGGCCCCGTTCGCTGGTCTGAAACTTGGCTGAAAAACACTGTTCTGACTGAATTGTTGTGAGAGAGAAACATTGTTGACTGGTTTAATGAACAGTGCAATGGGAGGAGAACCAGCCAGCTGAACTTTTCAGTTCAGACCAGCGAACACCTCCAATTTTCTCCATTTGTATGAGTGTTTGAATGTGTATGAAATTTTGTATGAACATATTTTCCAATGCATATGAAGATGTGTATGATGTGTATGAAAACAGAAGGATGTAGGAGGGGTAACGATTTAGGCGCCAGCCATTTTTGGACTCTTTAAAAAATATGCACGCGCATCTGTGAGTCCATGTTTTGGCTTTTTTCCACTGCATTCGCCAGTCCCTGTTTTGGCGCCAGTAGTTATCAGTTGGCGCCAGGACCTTCAGCTCGGCAGGGGCAGTAGGGTAAGGGTAAATGAGCCATCCTACCATAGCATTTATTACTTTTAGTCCATACCAATTCAAGTAACCAAACAGTACTTTAGTCTATGGACTAAAGGTGGACTAAAACTTTAGTCCATGGACTAAAGAACCAAACAGGCCCTAAACTATTTTAGTCCCTTTTTACGCCATGTTCGCTTGACTTATAATTCGTACTTTTTCAACGAACGAATAATATTTTTCTCTCACAACAATTCAGCCAACAGTATTTTCAGCCATGGCTTATCAGCCAGGCGAACAGAACATGAATCGGTTTGTTTGGCAGTTTAGTACAAGTGATTAAACTTTAGTAAGGGTAACCAAAAGTGCCCTTAGTGTGTGACCATTTGGAGTGGCCTCCCTCATCGACAGTACGATGGATAGATAGGCCTTATTTAAATTAAGGGTGTAAAGTTTTGGGACGTCACATTAGGTGTCACATAGAAATGTCACGTGGGGTGTTCGGATACTAATAAAAAATAAATTACAGAATCCGTCAGTAATCCGCGAGACGAATTTATTAAGCCTAATTAATCCGTCATTAGCACATGTGTTAATGTAGCACCACATTGTTAAAATCATGAACTAATTAGGCTTAAAAATTTGTAAATTAGTTGTAAACTGTATAATTAATTATTTTTTAGTCTATATTTAATACTCCATGTACGTATCCAATATTCGATGGTTTAGAGATTAAATTCACACAATTTATGCTAAAAATACTGTTTATACTAAAATATTGTAAAAGAAAAATACTGCTCCAACTAAAAACTGAAGCCAACCAGCCGGATGAAGCCAACCAGCCGGCCAACAAAAAATGCCAGACGAACACAGCCTAAACAGGCCATAGTGCGAGCATCTTTGGACTTTGGTGACCAGACGCTGACGCACTCACAGTCATAGTTCATTGGGCATTGGATTCTCCGTGATCTGCCCTGCTTCTTCATCAGTCTCAGGCAATCATCAGGCTTCAGCCAATCGTCTGCAAATTAATTTCCTTCCTCTGTTCCACTCCCATCCCGAATTAATCCCCTCTTAATTTCTCCGCACATTCTCTAGCTCTGAATTATATCAATCAGCCACCCTTAATTTCCTGCCACGCTTGGTGATTTTTTTGTTGGCATCACATCAGCGAGCGCGTCCACCTTTGACGAAAGCTGATAGAGTGACAGGTCTCTGTCTCCCACCTATTGGCACATTGTTTCCTCCGTTCTGGAACTGGAAGCTGGAAGGTGAAGTTGTCTTGCACAACAGCACAAGGGAGCTGTGGAGGAGGTGGAGGTGCAGCCATGGCGCACCGGCTGCTGCACGGCACTCTCGATGCGACCATCCTGGAGGCCGACCACCTCACCAACCCCACCCGCGCCACCGGCGGCGCCCCCGGGATCTTCCGCAAGGTAAAATCCCGACTCTATCTTCTCTTCATCGGAAATGCTAGCGGTAGCTTCCTTGCTTTGCTTCGTTCGGATTCAAGATCTGTAGTTCGTCTGATTCGTGCCGCGCGTGCAGTTCGTGGAGGGGTTCGAGGAGTCGCTCGGCCTCGGCCAGGGCTCCACGCGGCTGTACGCGACGGTGGACCTCGGCCGGGCGCGCGTGGGCCGGACGCGGGTCATCACCGGCGACCCCGTGAACCCGCGCTGGTACGAGGCGTTCCACATATACTGCGCCCACTTCGCCTCCGACGTCGTCTTCTCCGTCAAGGCCGCGCAGCCCATCGGCGCCACGCTCATCGGCCGCGCTTACCTCCCCGTCCGGGACCTCATCGCGGGCCAGGAGATCGAGCGGTCGCTCGACATCCTCGACGCCAGCAAGAAGCGGCTCCCGCACGGGCCCAAGATACGCGTGCGCCTGCGGTTCCAGGACGTGGCCGCTGACCGCCGCGGGTGGGGCCGGGGCGTCGGCGGCGCGCGGTACCCCGGCGTGCCGTACACCTTCTTCTCGCAGCGGCCCGGCTGCAGGGTCACGCTGTACCAGGACGCGCACACGCCCGACGCGTTCGCGCCCAGGATCCCGCTCGCCGGAGGCCGTCTCTACGAGCCGGGCAGGTGCTGGGAGGACGTGTTCGACGCCATCAGCAACGCGCGCCACCTCATCTACATCACTGGATGGTCGGTGTACACTGAGATCACGCTGTTGAGGGACGCCAACCGGCCGCGCCCCGGTGGCGACGCCACCCTCGGCGAGCTCCTGAAGCGCAAGGCGAGCGAAGGAGTGCAGGTGCTCATGCTGGTGTGGGACGACCGCACCTCCGTCGAGTCCCTCGGGATGAAGTGGGGGTTCATGAGCACGCACGACGCCGAGACGGCGGAGTACTTCCGCGGCAGCGACGTCCACTGCGTCCTCTGCCCCCGCAACCCCGACGCCGGCAGCAGCGCCGTCATGGGCGCGCAGATTGCCTACATGATCACGCACCACCAGAAGATCATCGTGGTCGACCACGAAATGCCGGCGAGGCACAGTGACCGCCGCCGCATCCTCAGCTTCGTCGGCGGCCTCGACCTCTGCGATGGCCGCTATGACACACAGTTTCACTCCCTGTTCCGGACTCTAGACACAGCGCACCACAAGGATTTCCACCAGCCCAACCTCGCTGGTGCGTCCATCAACAACGGTGGGCCGAGGGAGCCATGGCACGACATCCACTCCAAGATCGAAGGCCCAGCCGCATGGGGCGTGCTCTACAACTTTGAACAGCGGTGGAGGAAGCAAGGGGCAGCATTGATCTCCTCGTCGACCTCAAAGCTATGGCAGACCTGATCATACCGCCGTCGCCAGTGATGTTCCCGGAAGACCAGGAGACATGGAATGTGCAGCTATTCCGCTCCATTGATGGCGGCGGCGTGCTATGGCTTCCCTAGTACCCCAGAGGCCGCAGCTCAATCTGGCCTTGTCAGTGGCAAGAATAATGTCCTTGACAGGAGCATCCAGGACGCCTATATACACGCGCATACATCGCCGTGCCAAACACTTCATCTACATCGAGAACCAGTACTTCCTTGGCAGCTCATTCGGTGGAAAGCCGATGGCATAAAGCCAGAGGAGATTGAAGCACTGCATCTTATCCCAAGAGAACTCTCACTGAAGATTGTGAGCAAAATTGAAGCTGGTGAGCATTTTGCAGTCTATGTCGTCCTGCCAATGTGGCCAGAAGGCCCTCCTGCTGGTGGATCGGTTCAGGCCATACTGGACTGGCAGAGGAGGACTATGGACATGATGTACAATGACATTTCTGTTGCACTTGAGGCAAAGAGGATCGACAGGAACCCGAGGGATTACCTTACATTCTTCTGCTTGGGGAACAGGGAGGTGAAGATGAGTGGTGAGTATGAACCTTCAGGTCGTCCACTTGATGGGACAGACTATGCTCGGGCGCAGAATGCACGGCGCTTCATGATCTACGTTCACTCCAAGATGATGATAGGTATGCCCCTAATGTGATCAACACTCAGGCTAGAACCGCGGATTTACTCTTATGCTGTTCAAATTCAATTTGTTGCATGAAATTATCTGCACCTTCATCCTCAGGCATCGGGAGGACGTTTCAGATTTTTCATGTTCCATTCTTGTAAATATCTTAGAATCACCTTTCCAAATTCTAACACACTTTCCAAATTCCAACACACTCATGTCATGCTATGACAAAACTTCAGCTTGAAATACTCAAATTCAGGTATCAAATTGTTCTGTTCTTGCTGTCAGAAACAGACTGCTGAAATTGACACCTAGTCTTAGTTCAGTTCCTACACTACCAAGACACGTTTCATGTGGTTAAAGTTAAATCTGTCTAACATGTAACACACTCCTGTAATTACAAGGCTTGCATAGGACAGCTCAAATTTGTGCATCAGGATTATTTTTTCCCGAACTACACAGGAGAGCTGCGTGTCATTTCATTAAGGTAGAAGTATTTGTGCATCAGGATTTGTTTAATAAAAAGAATTATATTTCAGAACCATACATATCTTCAGCGTTCCATTCTTGCTGTCTGATATAGTCACCTAGTCTTATCAGTTGCTACACAGTTTCATGTGGATCAATTTTAATATCTATAACCTGTAATCTGCCATTGTCTGTTCCAGTCGATTTACTTAATACATCATCGTTGGATCTGCGAACATCAACCAGCGCTCAATGGATGGGGGCAGGGACTCCGAGATTGCCATGGGCGCGTACCAGCCGTGCCACCTGAACACCAAAGGCCAGGTCGCCCGAGGTCAGGTCCACGGCTTCCGAATGTCGCTGTGGTATGAGCACCTCGGCATGTTACATGACGATTTCCTCAACCCCGGCAGCCTGGAGTGCGTTCAGAGGGTGAACCAGATGGTTGACAAGTACTGGGACCTCTACGCTAGCGACAGCCTCGACGCCGACCTCCCTGGTCACCTGCTCAGGTACCCAGTCACGGTCACGAAGGAGGGCACGGTGACAGAGCTCCCGGGGGCGAAGTTCTTCCCCGACACGCAGGCGCTTGTGCTTGGGGCGCTATCGAAATTTCCTCCTTTTCTCACTACATAGAGAAATCTTCTGAATTGTTACCATATGACGTTTGTAGGCTGAATTGGTTGATCAGCTAGTCCGAGGTCTGAATATTTCCCTGTCCTTGCATGGTGCATAGCGCATACTATAGTACTAGACTGCTGAATTTCTGAAGGACCGGGAATGCGAGTTGGCTGACGCGTGAGCCGCACAAAATTCAGACTTGATTGGCTAGGATTGACTTGTTGGATCCTAGACAGGTTTTTAAAGGTTCTGGTCTGTTATACGCTGGTCAATAAACCTGCCGGTTCGTCAAATTCATCCGAGCGTAGACTGCGCCTCCTTTTCCAGTCCTTGAGCTGGAGAAAAAGCCTTCAGGCTTGCCCTGTAATCTTGAGTACTCTTTCACTTCTAGTTTTTGCTACTTCAGGTGCATTCGCAAATATGAAGTTCTGAACCTTGCTCCTTTGTCCCAGTGAACTGGTATGTGCTTGCTGAAATGCTAGACGATAATGTCCTTTTTTTTCCTTGGAAAATTTACCATAGATGGTACTAGATTGATTAAAATTTACTGGAATATTTTGTGAACGATTGCACTAGTAGTAAGAGTAGTGGTAGAAGGTAAAGAATGGTTATACAATATGGTGGCAGTTATATTCATAGAATATCCTGAGATTACAAGAAGCGTTTCCAAAAGGTAGGTAGAAGTACCGTGTTCCCTGTTCGCTTTAACTTATCAGTTATGGTACAGTATTTTTTTCTCACAATAAATCCTTTTCAACCTTGCTTTTCAGCGAGGGCGTCATGTCATTCGTTGACTTCTTTTTTTGCTGGTCCAGTCTTTGATGGAAATGTAGAGAGGAAATGATGTGGTGAGCGCTGTCACTTGATCAGTGACCATCTTTGGACCAGTTGATGCTTTCAGCTTTTCCTGCCCTCCTCATTTGAGTCCTTTCCTTTTCTTCTGCATCAAGCCGGTTCCTTCCAGTTTATTCCCCCGTTCTCTGTATCCACCAATTTCTCCCTCGTCTATATGTATAGAAAAAATATACGAAAAAGTGGATGCACGCTTTAGTTCAGCAGAGATATATCGATACGATCTTATGCCTACTTTCTGCATCTCTAAATCTTACGACTAAATATTTTTCTAATACTTTCTTCATGTGATTTTTTCAGGGCAAGAGCCCCAACACATTGCTACACAGTAGGAACACAAATACACAAGACCGCAAATTGATCGAACCATATGATCCTTGTCCCTCATTGCATCATGATCAAACACACGTCTAGGATACGTGTTCGGCGTTTGTTAGGAATGGGCAACAAACCACGTGGATCACACGCGCCATTTGGACGTCCGAAATCGCGATCACGCGCTTAATCCACCGACCGGTCCCACCGCGATCAGCATCCGCGAGACGAGTGGTGCTGCACCGGACTGGTTTCGAGCATTCATACCGCCACGCCTCCCCGTCTCTGTCCAACTCACACCAAGTTGGAATGGTGACCCATCATGCCCAGCCCAGCGCACAACAACCGTCGTCTAGACCCAGAACCAGAAGAAAGTATTTTAAATTTTAAATTGGAATACGCATTTGCAAAAACGTTATCGTTTTCATCTGCATTAACCTGAGCGAGTGATCGAGAGATTCGAATTTGAAAAATCACAGGTTAACCTGGAGGTGGATCAAATTTTCTCATATAGGACTATAGGAGTAGTCATCATCACAAGAGTTGGACGAAAAGTACCCAACGGCCAATAATGTCTCAACGATGAAATTACAAATTCCCGTACTCCGGCGATGAATACGTCGCCGGCTTGAATACGTCGCCGTACGCCTCAGACACGCACACATCCACGCATATTCCCTTCCCTTCTTCCCCCGTCGCCTTTCCCTCCCCTCCCCGCTCCGCTGCATTCCATTCCATTCAATCCCCGAGCCGAAACCACCCCCACCCCACCACCACCACCGCGCCCTCCTCCGCCAACGCCCCGCCGCCGGCGCCATGACCGGCGCGGCGGCCCATGCGGTGGGCCCCCGCGGCGGCGCCTCCGCGTCCGCGTCCCAGCCCCACGCCGTAGCTGCCGCGGCGGCCGCGGGGACCGGAGCGGCGGGGTGCGAGCCGGTGCGGAAGGCGGGGCCCGTGACCATGGAGCACGTGCTGCTCGCGCTGCACGAGACGGAGGCCGAGCGGGAGGCGCGGATCCGGGACATGTTCGCCTTCTTCGACACCGCGGGCCGCGGGCAGCTCGACTACGCGCAGATCGAGGCGGGGCTCGCCGCGCTGCAGGTGCCCGCCGAGTGCAAGTACGCCAGGGAGCTGCTCCGCGCCTGCGACCGCGACCGCGACGGCCGCGTCGGCTACGACGACTTCAGGCGCTACATGGACGACAAGGAGCTCGAGCTCTACCGAATCTTCCAGGCCATCGACGTGGAGCACAACGGATGCATCCTCCCCGAGGAGCTCTGGGACGCGCTCGTCAAGGCTGGTATGTGTTTCCTAGGCCAAACCACGCTTATCCAGTACCTGTGCTGCCGCGCCGGTGATTCTGGCCACCTCGGTGCTGTGCTGGCGCACGACGCGTGCGCGGTACCAGGAATCCGGCGCTTTGTGCGTAATGTAGTTGATGTGGCATAGTAACGGCTGCTGGTTGTTGGGTGCGTCGGACGATTAGAACCCAGCCGTTGCAGTTTACTGGAGTACCCTTTATTTTACTTTACTTATTTGGTTAACTAATATAAGTTACTATACTGATGTTACTTGAACTTCCAGTTCCTGACGCATTCTTCTGTAAGCATTCAGTAATATATGAGAGTAGCAGAGAGTTTGAGCCATAAGATGTCTTCGAATATGAAAAATGAGTAAAATGGTTATCTAAGTAAGACCATGTTCAGCCAATCGGCTGTCACATTATCTATTGCCATAGTGCTATAACTGTTACTACTGTTACAAAATTGAGGATGCAGATTAAGTTAAATTTCAGTTAACTTCTCCTGGATAAGAGGTATGGCTACTAATACCATGATAGCTTTCTGTGCTATATAAACATTCAGGTTGGATGCAGTGTGTAAACCATGCCTGAGCTTACCACTGCAGTTCCACAGTTCCATATCTCGACAAACAAATGAGAGAAAAAAAAAAATGCAGAATGACAACAAGTTGAAGTTGGCCGTAGTTCTATCCTTCTATTCCTGTATAGATTTCTAGCTTGGTTAATCTTTTTTTTTATTTGAGTGGAGGCTACCGCCTACTTCTGTGGATTTTAGATGCTAGTTTCTGCTCATATGCTATCAGGATACTATTTTCCTTTCCTTCGTAATTCTGGTTTAAATCAACACGTACACTTGGTTAGTGAGTTCATAAATTATTTGTATCTGACATCTGGTGCAAAATCAGAACCAGTAACATATCTCTACGACTACACTAACATGTCATCTTGTGCATGAATGTATGCAGTCTTCAAGTTGTCTTTTAGATATGTTCATAGCATACATAGTGCATGCATGAATCTTAAGTAACACAAGCTAGTTTTGAACCATTGAGAATGCTTCCACTTCTTGAAACTGAGTATCTGATAAATGATTACGGATGGTTCACTAAATCCTGAGCATTGCTTATGTACATATGCTTACTGTTTCAACATAGACATACAACTGAGTTACAGTTTCTTGCATATAGTTCCTTCAATACTTCTATTTGCATTGACATTGGCATATGAAAATTAATGAATTAATATCAATGGATTGTCAATACATATTATTTCATTGCCCTCTAAGGACCTGCATAATGAAGGTGTTAACACATCAAGTGTTGCTAATGAAGATCACATAGCCCTGATCATTTATGTCTTTTATGGCCTAAACTTTCTCTTACCTAACATTCTCGCATTGTCGCTGACAATGCCATCCATGATATATGGTCTACTGCATGATGATAAAATCCAATCTTGTTCGCATATATGTGGTACAGATTTCCCTCAGTTTACGCAAGTAAGAGTAAAATGTCCTTGGGGTCCCTAACCTTGTTCCATCACATGAGTCCACTTCTAAGTTGCAGATTTAGGTACCTAAAATTGATAAAATTAGTCACTTCAGGTCCTGATCACGCCATGCGGTACGAGAGTGTTGACATGGTGTGTGCACATGACATACTGGGTCTAATCTTTTTGAGGGGGAACACAGTAGGGGCCTACTGTGATCTTTTTGAGGGGGAACACAGTAGGGGCCTACTGTGGTATTATCTATTTCTAATATTAAAGAGCGAAAATTTCTTTCTTCCGCCTCTCACTCTCTCCCATGTCCGTCTGTCCCTCACTCCTTTTCTCCTTCCGTCCCTCCTTTTCTCTCACTCCGTCCTTCGGTCCGTCATCCCTCACTCCCACCGTTCTTGCGTTGAGTTTAGAGCTGCAAAACATTCGTTGGTGTTGCACCACTCATGTCATGATCTAGCTGCCTCAGACCGTATGCGTCATGGCACGCGTGCGGGCGTGTGGCTCGCCTTCCACCTTTGTTAAACTCACAACATGTGCACACAATAATCATCTATTTAAGTTGATTCAATCTCCTAGCATTTATTATGGGCCATGGAATCTATTTGATTTAAGGTTGGGCCAAGCCCAATTAAATCCAACAAAAATAGCTAGCTCATTATCATTGGCACGAGCACCGCGTAACAAATTGTATGTTCCGTTGCAACGCATCAGCATGTTTGCTAGTATGTATTAAAAAAAATATAAGAGAGTAAACAAAACTACAACAAAAGCGCCAAAGAAGGTAGACAAAAAACTTTACAACAGGCTGTTTAGCCAAAGGGAGAGGCTGATGCTAATAGTGGGCCTAATCTGTGAAGATGTAGCTTTACAGTATGTATAAAACATAATTTTCAAGACTGGAAATAGGCATGCAAGTGGGGCGGGCAGTGGCGGCCCGTCCCGCGTCCGCACAAACCGCGAGTGAGGTAGCGGACACACGTGGCAGCCTGCATGGCGCTGTTTGATTTTGCAGGCTAGGCAGCAGCCTGCATGGGCATGACGCCGTTTGATTCGAGGCTTCGCGCAAAAGCAGCATGCATTGCCGCTGGTTCCGAGCCTCTTGCTAACCTGTGTCCGCGAGCACATAATTAGCTTGCATCTCTAAAAAGTGATAGAAAGAGGCAGGTTCATCTAGTTGGGAGACAGCTAAAAAGACTCCATGAACACACGCAGTTGACATTCCACTTTGGCTTTCTGGATTGTATCGAAGAAGCTGATGACATGATCCCAAGAAATCCCAATAAAATTCGAACATCTAGTGCTGAAGGGGCATTCAAAGAACAAATGATATGTGGTCTCTTCTAGATTTAGGCTGCATAACACAAAAATGTAATTGTCATCTTCAATCTTGTAGTTTCTTCTTCTTTGCAGGTTTTCTAGAATTAAGTCTATCCTTGAAAATCAGCCACATGAAGATTTTCAGTTTTTTTTTTATTACTTTGGCTTACCAGATCCAACTAGACTGGGGCTAATCTGATTTGCAAAGAACCCTTACTTTAGTCACCTGGAGGCTGAAATGAAACCAAAGCCATTGCTTTGTCTATTGTTTCTCTCTCACACAGTGGGTAGGCTTGTGGGAGAGGTGTAGTGGTGGTCAATGGCAAGTGCTGGCTAACCCTACAAGAGAAGCCCTCTCAGGTGGCTGGCAGACACCCCTGGTCCAATGGAATACCCTTGTGTTAACTGTGATTGAATGATGTGTGCATTCTGGATGTTTTCAATGGTTTGTGAACCTTTCCCTTGTTAACATGTTCTAACACACATCAAGAATACTTCTGGATTCCATCTTTGCTTGTATGCTATTTTCAATATGTTTCATGACATATGGTGTTATGTCCTAGACATTGGGATCAAATATACTATATGAGAGGTTGGAGGATGGGATCCTGAACTGAGCCCACAGTGAAGTAGCTGTGACACAGCTGAGGGAGGGAGGCGTGTGCTGGTGGAGCCTGATGCACAGGTGCTGTGCACTGTGCAGCAAGAGAGTTCTTTCCTGAATCATCTGAATGAGCCTTGCGTCCATATATAGGCTGGTCCCTAACAGGTCCAATAATGATATAATCTTTAGCCTAACAAAAATCCAATCTAGAAGATATCAACCAAATCAAATAGATACCATTCCTTAATGACATAAACCCTAGCCAAGCAATGGCACACCATGCTTGGCATCCTAACCTGCCATTGCCAGGGCACGATCCTCCTTTTGTATTGAACACTCACCATGTCTTATGATCTTTCTAAATTCTATATTCGTCTTTTAGTTGCTAGTATGATACTTAGGGGATGTTTAGTTTGTGGAATGAAGTAGTCCATCATCTCACTCTTTAGTTTTTTGTTTGGTTTGTGGAATGGATTGAGTTGATCCATCATCACCTCATTCCTCAACAACATAGCCTTTCAGTCCCAAGCAAGTTGGGGTAGACTAGAGTTAAAACCCACCAAGAGCCCCAAGTCACGGTTCAAGCACTTTAATAGCTGATTTCCAAGTACTCCTATTCAAACATAGATCTCTAGGTATATCCTAAGCTTTCAAATCTCTTTTTATTGCCTCCCGCATGTCAATTTCGGTCTTACTCTACCTCTCCTTATATTATTAGCTTGGCTTAGGACTCCACAATGTACTGGTGCCTATGGAGGTCTCCTTTGGACATGGCCAAACCACCTCAACCGATGTTGGACAAGCTTTTCTTCAATTGGTGCTACCTCTAGGTGATCACGTATATCATCGTTCTGAATTCGGTCCATTCTTGTGTGACCGCAAATCCATCGCAACATACACATTTCTGCAACACTCAGTTGTTGAACATGTCGAATCTTTGTAGGTCAACATTCTGCCCCATACAACATAGCCGGTCTAATCGCCGTTCTATAGAACTTACCTTTTAGCTTTTGTGGTACCCTTTGTCACAGAGAATGCCAGAAGCTTGTCGCCACTTGATCCACCCTGCTTTGATTCTATGGCTAACGTCCGCATCAATGTCTCCATCCCTCTGTAGCACCGATTCCAGATACCGAAAGGTATCCTTCTTAGGCACTACTTGACCTTCCAAACTCACATCTCCCTCCTCCTGTACAACTCCGCCAAAGTCGCATCTCATGTATTCGGTTTTAGTTCTGCTCAATCTAAAACCTTTAGACTCAAGGGTCTGCCGCCATAACTCTAGTTTCCTATTTACTCCCGCCTGGCTTTCGTCCACTAACACTACATCATTAGCGAACAACATACACCAAGGGATATCCCTTTGTATGTTCCTGGTAACCTCATCCATTACCAAGGCAAAGAGATACGGGCTTAAGGCTGACCCTTGATGAAGTCCAATTTTAATCGGGAAGTAATCTGTGTTACTATCGTTTGTTCGAACACTGGTCACAACATTGTTGTACATCACCTCATTCCTCACAAGTTAATAATTAGTACTAGTACTAATATGTGGAGTGAGGTCATTCCACTAAATTTGACGAATGGACTCATGATATATATAATGTTATCTTGAATGGGTTGATCCCCCAAACCGAACACTCCATTAGAGATTTGGAGTTGTGGTGATGTGTCACACTAACGTGGAATTAATTGTGATAAACCTGGGTATTTCCTGTTAAAATGGTGGCTATTATCTCTGGCCTTTGATTTGGGGAAGTTTATGGTTTTATAGTTACAGATCAACTCATCATACCTGTTATGTTCCAATAAGACTGCAGGCTCCCTAATTAGGGTACTAACTTCATTCTGCCTACCATCAATCAATATTTTACAGAATCACATACGATGAAGATCGGATTTCCTCCTGTGTCTAGATTTCTGAAAATAGCCTCATGCTCTTTGCTTCACTGCTAGTGCTTTTGAGATACTCTTCTATGTCTTTGTGGCCAGGTTATTTCAAGCTTCAGTTAAATTTTTATATGTAATTTATCTTACAAGCAATGTCAGTTTGCTGTCTGCAGGTATAGAGATTAATGATGAGGAGCTGGCAAGATTTGTTGAGCATGTGGATAAGGACAACAATGGGATTATTACTTTTGAAGAATGGAGGGATTTTCTTCTACTTTACCCCAATGAGGCGACCATTGAGAACATTTATCATCACTGGGAAAGAGTCTGCCTTGTTGATATAGGTGAACATGCTGCTATACCAGAAGGCATAAGTAAACATGTCAATGCAAGCAAATATCTTATTGCTGGAGGGATTGCTGGTGCAGCATCTCGTACTGCAACTGCTCCTCTGGATCGCCTTAAAGTGATCATGCAAGTACAAACAACGCGTACTACAGTCATGCATGCAATTAAAGATATCTGGACTAAAGGTGGCATGCTGGGATTTTTTAGAGGGAATGGATTGAATGTTGTAAAAGTCGCTCCAGAAAGTGCAATAAGATTTTATGCCTATGAAATGTTAAAAGAATATATTATGAAGAGCAAAGGAGAAAATAAGAGTGAAGTTGGTGCTTCTGAACGTCTTGTTGCTGGTGGTTTAGCTGGTGCAGTGGCTCAAACAGCAATTTATCCTATAGATTTAGTAAAGACTCGTCTACAGACTTATTCAGGTGAGGGTGGTAAAGTTCCTAGAATTGGTCAGCTCTCAAGGGATATTTTGGTGCATGAAGGTCCCCGAGCTTTTTATAGAGGTCTTGTTCCATCTTTGCTTGGTATCGTACCTTATGCCGGAATTGATCTTGCTGTATACGAGACTTTGAAAGATGTGTCAAAGACATATATACTGAAGGACAGTGGTAGGCCCTCGTTTTTTGGTTTTGTGTGTTTCCTACCTTTATTTCAACTGTGTTTCTTGATTTTCAGTGTTATCATTCAATGTCATGTAGATCCTGGCCCTCTAGTACAGCTGGGTTGTGGGACTGTCTCTGGAGCTCTAGGGGCAACATGTGTTTACCCTTTACAGGTCATCAGAACAAGGTAATGAGTTTGTAATTGTATATCTTGAAAATCTCTCTCTCTCTCTCTCTCTCTCTCTCTCTCTCTCTCTCTCTCTCAGCCTTTTCTAAATATATGTAGACTGCAAGCTCAACAAGCCAATTCAGAATCTGCCTATAGAGGAATGTCTGATGTCTTCTGGAGAACCCTACAGCATGAGGGTGTTTCTGGATTCTACAAAGGAATTCTACCAAATCTCCTTAAAGTGGTGCCTGCTGCAAGTATTACCTATATGGTTTATGAGGCGATGAAGAAAAATCTGTCTCTTGATTAAATTCTGGAGTTGTTGGGGAAAAAACAGCCATCATTATTGGCATGGCTGACTGTAGAGATAATGACGACACATGAATTTTACTGGTTGAATAGTTTCTTTTTGAAGTCAAAGATGGTGCCTTCAATATAGAACTGGAAGCAATGGTGGCATTTTCCTCCTAATTTTGATTCAGCAGAAATGAAGTGATAATCATGAGATCATCAAGGCACCCATGCCTGCCATACTGGTAACAATCTAGTTATTGATTCGTACTACCGCCATTACACTTGATACACCCTTTTGTCTTCCATCCTAATTCCCTTTTTGGGTGCATGGTTATCCTTTGAACTTAGTGCTGTTTTTTTTTTTCCCTGCACCTATTTGGTAATTGGGATTCAAAGGAAAGACCTTAGATTATGTTTAGGTAGCACATCATATCTAGGAACTATAGTTAACTGTTTCTACTGAAATATATGAAACTAATGGTTAGCATACATTAACATCTTATGTTGATGACTTTCTGTCTTGCTACTTAGATATTCTGTGCATATCTCCTGATTTTGATATGAGATATTAGAGAATACCAGTGGTAGATGGCTGCTAAATGTTGCCTTGTTGTGGTGTACAGTTTGACGATGCCTATATATATTGCAGTTGTCAATAACATTTTACTCCTTTTCAAAATGTAAGGCGTGGTTTGACCGGGTGTGATCCCCAATATCACACTTGACCATTAACATCTCATATATATTAAAATGTTCATGGCTATGAAATTGACACCATATCAAAGTGTTTTCAAATATGAATTCAATGATGCTAAATTCATATGGTATAATCTAAAAGTTCTTAGATTAATTGTTGGTCAAAGATTAAAAAGCTTGAATGCTAGGTTGCCTGCTTGCCTTGTAAAAGGAAAATGAGGAATTACTTCTAGGAGTGGTACAACCTCTTGGAATGTTTGGTATGAAAACTAGATAGTGAGTGGACTATTGTTATACTTGTAACTTGTAAGGTTTGGAAAATGAGACAAGAATGGTCTGCATGATTGCATCATACCAGCAAAATCATGATCCCATGGTCCAATCTGTCCTAGGATTCCTCAAACTTCGTTACTAATTTAGTTTTGTATGTGTCGTAATTTGTGTATGGAGATAAGCAATTTAAGAAGGATGAATATTCAGTTCTTAGAAAATGGTATTTATTTTAATTATTCTGGTGATTTGTAAAAAAGAAAATGTTTATATAAAACTATTGTGAGATATTGTTTAGAGATAAATGTATAATATTGTGCTATAGTGAGAGATATTGTTTAGAGATAAAATGATCCTTTTCCCATATAATGAATACAAGTAAATAAATTAGTAAAGATTGCATTTATTCTCTTGGAGCTATCAAAGAACTACACTTTTAAGAACTACTATTTTCAAACAACCGCATTATTCTTGCTCAAGTTATATATATATATTTAAAAAGCACACTTACATTATACATGACCTAAGTGACAGACTAGCCTACATGACATGAAAACATAGCTTTATGGTGTTTGGATGAATGTTGCATATGATGGCGCAGCACAGCATGTGGATAACGATCTCAGGCATGATTAGTTTCCACTTGATCGTGTCAACCAGACCATCATCCAAACATATCTTATGGCATGCCATGTCAATGTTATGGCAAACCAGTCCGAAAGCAATGGTGTTAGGATGGAGTGTCTTACCATTGACGGGCCACACTTGTCACTATTGTTTCATCCATAAAAGATGTTGCAGTTTTTACATTTTGGGCAACAAAAGTGTGTTCTTTGAAGCAGGTTCTTAAAGTGTATTTTTCAATGGTTTGCTAGGAGTTAGTGTAGTTCTGTAAAACCAGTTCATTTGATGTTTGATGCGATGATGTGTGTAATGTATAGAATATATAGATACTGATGGCCAACTCAGACTGAGTTATAGACTGGGGCAGAGCTTGTTGACAAATATAAGAGGGGCCAAGCTATGTAAATCTTTCTTTGTTTATCAAATTTGCTCCCTAAACTCAAGTGATTCTATAGAAAGTGCACAGGTTGAGGAGGGGCCATGGCCCCCTTTGGCCTAGCTTAAGCTCCGCCCCTGGTTATAGATAGTGTTTGATTGTCTCAGAAAAATGTGTATCAAATTTATTCAAGAGTTGCACTGCTGCAGCCTTTTCCTCAGAACATTATGTGGCTAGCTGTCCTGACTGTTATTTGAAACCCTGCTAAAATCGTTGATGTTTGGGAAAATATGCCGTTGCTTTCTCACATTTACACAACTAAAGCGTTGCTTTCTCACATTTACACAACTAAAGCCTGGTCTCAGTATACGTACCATAGAATCTCATTATTCACAAGCGGCAATTTTGAAGACAATGTTTTTTTGACACCAATAGTGCTGATGTGTGAGATTTATCACAGGATCAAGCAGATGGACCACCTTTCTAAACTATAAAGCACACCACTTGCTTGTCTCTATATATTATAACCTCAGAGAAAATACCAGTATTTCTCATATATTTGGCCTAAAGCTTAAATTTGTGCATGTGTTTGTTTGGTGCTATCTATTCTGGTGCTTGGTGACATCCCCCCCCCCCCATTTCATATGTGCAAGAGTAATAGAATACATTTTTCTTGTTATATATGGCTTGATTGATTTGAATATAAAGGGCGTACCCAGTGCAGAGAGCTCCCGCTCTGTGCGGGGTCTGGGGAAGGGTGTTAGTGGCGAGCCTTACCCTCGCCTGTGCAATGCGAGAAGACCGCGACTCAAACCCGGGACCTTCCGGTCACAGGCGGTAAGACTCTACCGCTTGCACCAAGCCCGCCCCTTCATTGATTTGAATATGGTAATGCTTAAAGTTTGACAGTGTTTCACCTAGTCATTTTTGTTTTCAATCATTTGATTCCCCTTCAGTTATTTTGTCCTGCTACTCATTTTCTTGTATCTCACTTTCTTTGGATGCGTTCTCTTTATTAATTTAAACCCATGACTCATTTGCTACATTTCTCACGTTTCAGCTAATGACACCATCGACACCGACTTAACTGTTCACCGTGAATTTCCGAAGGCTTGTTTTACCCCCTGTCTGGGGCGAGTTTTGTTAGACTGTAACACACAGGGAAACTCTCCTAACTTAATTACAATTCCTTGTGCTCCTTAACTCAGACTGGGAGCTGTGACCTTTACTGACTACAAAATTGCCCGGCAAAAAGGGTGCTGGTTATACCTGTATGTATTTTCCACGGCGACTTGGCACAAGTCAATGCCTAGTGAATGTAATAATCCGCCCGTATCGTTAGTCTTCCTTATGGTTTCCAATGACCCTGTTGCTGTATTTGCATTGCCAAAGCAAGGTGCAAAAAAGGGGTTGTATGTGCATAAAAGATGCCAAAGCAGATGGCAAAAAAAAAACTCGCAAGGTGCATAAGGGGTTTGTATGGTATTTTAGTTCAGATGTGTCCGCAGGTGCAAAAGCTGCTTAGTGCTTCATGTGGAACATGAGCATGCCGCGTTTGTACAGGTAGGTTAGTGACATTAACGTCACTCAGGGCCTGTTTGGTTCCTTCTATATACTCTGGCCTGTCTCGGGATGCAGTTTCCCAGCGTTTGGAAGCCTGAATGGGTTTCTGACCCTTGGCCTGCAACGAGCCACCCCGAGCCTGGCTCCCCAAAAACGGATTTCGAATCCGTTTTGGGAAAATTGGTCTCGTAGCATTGAAAGATCGTCATATCTAGAAAATATCATCGAAATTTTGCCGTTTCGTAAAATACCATCGAAAGAATGCAAGGTCATCTGTAGCCTCCGTCAAGCTCGTCCCCTTCTTCCTGAGGTGAGTGCGGCCGCTGCCTCTGCTCCAGGCAGGGGGCCATGGCAGCAAGCTCCGGCGTTTGGCTGCTGCGGGCGGAATCGCGGGCTGGTGCGGTGCAGCTCCGGTGGAGGCGGCTTCGGCGAGCCGGGGCGAGCCGTGGCGGAGCTGGCCCTGCACAGCAAAGAGGCAATGAGCCCCAATGACTACACTCAACGTGTCTCAGACGTGCAACCACCGCCGCCGCTGCCTTCAGTCTGGCCAGCCGTCTCGGCTGCAGCCGCGGGGCGGAAGAAGCTTTTCTGCTTCGGTAGGATTCCTCGGCCCTACGACCTCGAGGACTTGCTACGCGCATCCGCCGAGGCTCTTGACAAGGGCACGTACAGTACCACGTACAAGGCCGCGATCGAGTCTGGGCCGGTCATGGCGGTGAAGCGCCTCAAGGAGACTTCGTTGCCGGAGCGCGAGTTCCGGGACAAGGTCGCGGCCATCGGTGGGATCGACCATCCCAACGTCGTGCTCCTACAGGCTGCAGGCCTATTACTTCAGCAAGGACAAGAGAAGCTCATGGTGTACGATCGAGTTCGTAGCCATGGGCAGTCTTTCCTCCATGCTTCACGGGACGTGCTCTGTTCTTGTCAAGCGACCTGCGACTGCGACCCCTCTCTGTTTTGATGACCAAATTGAATGAGGTTTTCTGGCGGGGTTCCTAATTGCAGGCAACCACGGCTCCGGCCGGTCGCCGCTGAGCTAGGAGTCGAGGAGGCACATCGCGCTGGCCTTGAGTACATCCACGCGACGGGCTCCATGGCCACGCACGGCAACATCAAGTCCTCCAACATCCTCCTCAGCCACACCGTGGACGCGCGCGTGGCCGAACATGGGCTCGCGCACCTCGTCGGCCCCGCGTCGCGGGGTACCGGCGTACCGCGCGCCCGAAGTTGTGGCGGACCCGCGCCGGGTGTCGCAGAAGGCCGACGTGTACAGCTTCGGCATGTTGCTCCTGGAGCTGCTGATGGAGAAGGCGCCGACGCACGCGGTGCTGCACGACGAAGGCATGGACCTCCCGCGGTGGGCGCGCTCCGTGGTGAAGGAGTGGACGTCCGAGGTGTTCGACATGGAGCTGCTCAGGCACCCGGTACCCGAGGAGGAGATGGTGGAGATGCTGCGACTGGCCATGGACTGCACTGAGCCCACCCCG